TCATACTGCGAGCAACAAGTTATCACAAAACAACAGTTGCTCTCCCTTCTCGGACACCTCAACTTCGCCATGCACGTCATCCCCCAGGGGCGCTCGTTCATCTCCCGCCTCCTGGACGCAGCATCAGCGGTCGACAATCTCCATGACTGCGTTTTCTTAGACGAAGGCTGCCGCTCAGATCTTCGGTTCTGGTCCCTCCTGCTCGCCCACTGGAACGGAGTTACTTTCTTTTACGATGGCCTCGTGCGTTCCTCTGACTCAATGAGGTTCTTCACGGATGCCGCCCATCCGTGGGTTTTGGGGGTTTCTTCCAGGGAGAGTGGTTCGCAGGGTCATGGCCCCGTCAATTTCTACCTCAAGCAAGTTCTCATTAAATCCGGCCTATCACCCATATCATACCTGGGGCATTCCTTCAGGATAGGTGCAGCCACCTCTACTGCTAATCAAGGTCTCTCTACCTCATCCCTACAACAACTAGGACGGTGGTCCTCCTCCGCCTTCACAACCTTCATTCGTCCGGACATCAGCGCCGTACGGGCTTCCCAAAGATCTCTCAGACCCTAACTATGGTATCTATGCATATAACTGGTGGTGGCTCATAAACACATTCATAAGTATACATGTCTCACTAAGGTACCTGATATTCAAACTGCATTCCCGTCCTAGTCCGCGGGCCCCGCCCACAGGGAATAATGTCTCGTCTCACGCGCACCTACACGTAACGGGCTTCATCTCCTGGACACAGGTATCCAAATCCCAGGCCCTTGCTCAAATGTGTCAGTGTAAAATGTATATCCTGCAAAGTCAGGCGTGGACTCGGGCCACCGCACACTTCGGTATCAGTTACAAAACAAAGAAAATAAAGAAAGAGGAAAAAGTAAAGAAGGAAAAGAAAAAGATATATCCTGCGAAGTCAGGCGTGGACTCGGGCCACCGTACACTTCGGTGTCGTGGCTCCAGGCCACCGTACACTTCGGTGTCAGTTACAAAACAAAGGAAATAAAGAAAGAGGAAAAAGTAAAGAAGGAAAAGAAAAAGATATATCCTGCGAAGTCAGGCGTGGACTCGGGCCACCGTACACTTCGGTGTCGTGGCTCCGGGCCACCGTACACTTCGGTGTCAGTTACAAAACAAAGGAAAAAAAGAAGAGGTAAAGAAGGAAAAGATAAAGATATATCCTGCGAAGTCAGGCGTGGCTGAAGGCCACCGTACACTTCGGTGTCAGTTACAAAACAAAGGAAAGAAAGAGTAAAGAAGGAAAAGATAAAGATATAGCCTGCGAAGTCAGGCGTGGCGGAAGGCCACCGTACACTTCGGTGTCGTAGCTTCGGGCTACCGTACACTTCGGTGTCGTGGACGTTGGGCCACCGTACACTTCGGTGTCAGTTACAAAACAAAACCGTTCAACCTTCGGGCGGCGTAGTCAAGCCCTGCTAGCCAGGCAGGCGACCCGCAGGTCGTTTTCAGATAAGACCGGCACTGATTTCGGCAGTCAGAGTCTCAGCATGACCCGTAAGCTCCGGCAGTGATTCCGGCCCAATGCCGCTTACATATGTTAATCTATTATCTTTCATTCCCAGATCACCAGTCACCCCACAAGGTAAGCAACTCAGTTCATCTCAGTATTTCATACTTCACTGGTTTTGGGGATTTCATCGGAGCGGTTCTTTCTCTCCTGAATGATTATCCTGCAAACCGGGGCCTAATCGCCAAACACCATTACATTCTCCTGTTGTATTATCATGGCAATCATTTCATTCATATGACGTGTAAACAATAAATATGTAATTCTTACATCACGTCTCTCCGGTTTGAAATGAAAGCTTTAGCGCAAGTTCAATAAGGAAGACCTAACACGAGTCACTTACACGTCACTCTATGGCTCCGTTCCCCCCTCATTAAATACGAGGGCGTCACCCCTCAGCAGCCAATCGCTGCACATGCTAAATTCCTTAAATGCCTGCTCTTCCTCCCTGTCAGTTGTCATTGCAGATGATCACACGCAACCCGCCTCCACCCCTCTCGCCTCCTGTCTCCTTCAGGACAAAGCTAAACCTTCCTCCTTCAGACCGGTCTCACCTACTCATCACCACCACCAGTGTCTAGACCCCGGGGATTTCATCGGAGCGGTTCTTTCCCTCCTGAATGATTATCCTGCAAACCGGGGCCTAATCGCCAAACACCATTACATTCTCCTGTTGTATTATCATGGCAATCATTTCATTCATATGACGTGTAAACAATAAATATGTAATTCTTACATCACGTCTCTCCGGTTTGAACTGGACTGACGTTTGCTTTTGAAAAGTTTATTTCTCTCTTGTACTGAATCATGACGCTTTAATGGACCTTGTATGCAACACAATTATGATGAGCTAATGAAACTTTTATGAATGCTGCTGTCTAAGTAGTTAAAAATAGTTTCACTTTTAGGACACATGTTAAATCAGTACAGCCGTTGGTTGGAAGAGATCACGGCAGCCATGTATATGATAAAGAAAATATTGCAATAAAAGGAGTGTTTTGACACTGGCATGTCCCTAATAGTTGGTCAAATCACAGGCTCTGATTGGTTCTCCTGCTAATGAAATAGCAATTCCCAAGACCCACCAAAGATTTGTGGACCTTGATCATTGGATCCAGTCAGTTGATATTCTGTACAAACTGTGAAGTTCAATGAGACAAATGTAACATTTGTGATATTGGGCTATATAAATAAACATTGATTGATGGAGCGAATCTTTTTTCCTGAAACGTTCAGAATCTCTTTCCACAGAGGGGACACATGTTTATGTATAAAAGACATGTACAAGTGGATTTTGCATAATAGGTCCCCTTTAAAGTTTCATAAAAAATGAACAATACCTTCCATGTACTAGCTTATATGCCCAAATAATAGCTTATAATACAAGTAAGTCATGTAAATTAAACTGCTGATGTAACAAATACATATTTAGAAAACGTTTTTGGAGCTCTTGTAACGTTTACTGTGAGCAAAATGGTCTAACAGTTTTAAATTCTGCACTGATGAAGTTAGCGACGATTGTCCAACTGTCCAACTATGTAAGAGAACATCTAACATTATCATTATGATTGTAAAAAAACAAAATGGCTAATGTTCGCTCTCACAGCTGCCTTGTGCCGTCACATGCGATGAGTTCACAGGCCAGCGCACACACGTTGGCCTTGTGGTTACTTCCTGCGGTCCAAATAAACGATTTGGTGTGCCTATTAAAGACCTGGAGCAAAGCATAAAAAAAGACCATTTCATTAATTGATTGGTGTCCCGGATATAAGGGAATTTAACAAATATAACAAAATACTTTAAAAGATAACACAGAATAATGATCTGTTAGCATCACTGTGATTGTGCTGTAGTACGATTTAGTAGTGAAGGAGCAATATTGAGTTATTTACAGTAATAAAGCTTTTAATAACTTGACCACAAATACAGCTGAATCAGCAGAATTACTGTCATTCTCATAGCAGTCATGTAAAAGAGCCTTCAGACATCATACATCTTAGTATTATTGTGAGTGAAAAAGCACCACATTGTGTGGAAAGTAGGGCAGATATTATTTTTATTTTGTATGTAATTTTGTATTTATAGTTTTTCGCCTCGTGCAAAGTTGCCATGACTGACTTCAGAGAGAAATACAGTATGTTTTTTATTCAATAACATGCTAGAAGTCAATATTATTTGCAGAAAATGATTTACCTTTAAATATGATGCAGTGCTTTAGCATGCTTAAAATCACCTATTACACTTTACTGCTAAAAATATATTTGTTTTTATTTAAATTAAGTAAACCTTACTTGAATTGAAAAACTAAAGAAAGTTATTGTAATGAAATCAATATAATAAAGGTTATTAACCAACAAAAATACAAAGCAAAGACAGTGTACATTGTGTTCAAATCTTCAAAGAGCTCATTATGCTTTACATACCTAAAAAATAGAAAATGTTTGCCGGTTGTAACTATATAAATATATAATATATATATATATATAAAATAATGTATTATATTATATTATTGCCTCTGAATTTGATTATTATCGGATAGGATAATAACTTAGTAATTAACTACGTCTGAAAGCAGAAGTACAGGGCAAATAATTGCAAGTCTCTTCAGTGCGCATGTCACAAAACGAGATGCATTGTGGGACATGTAGTTTATGGACAACCTGCTTCTGTAAAGTGGCATGTAACCGTATAATAAACGTATTATATTCTTTGCAAGCTCTTGCTGGGCCACATAAAATGAAGTCGCGGGCCGGATTTGGCCCCCGGGCCTTGAGTTTGAGACCCCTGCGTAGAGTATAAAGAAGTGGTGAGCTTTTTTCAAATAATTAAATATAATTGTAGCTGAAACCACAGAAAGGAGAAAATGCTTTTAGATTCTCCGTACAGCGCTAGGATAAATAATTCTCTGTAAAGATTTCCGAGTTCCGAGTGCAATGTTGACAGATACTGTGGGAAATGATCCAGAGGAAATGCAGATTTTGCATTATTCAAGAAAAAGGAAGTAAGCACATTATATCTGCTCAAATTGGCACTGCATCGTAATCTTGTAGTATATTAAACTTCATTTTCTTGAGTTTTAATGGTACATCTTCATCCAAAGCCTCTGCAGTTTCTCAGTGATTTAATTTGCAGCTTTTGCATTGATTGTTTCATTTGCACACAAAAACACAACAGATACAGCATATGAAATATCGGTACCACTTTACAATAAGACTACCCTTATAAAGGATTCATAAAGGGTTTATAATTAGGTTGTAAACACTTTATTAATCATTATGAACCTTTTATAAACCAGTTCTAACAGTTTTCATATATCAACACAGGCTCACTATTTGGCAAGATGACTAAGCCTTATATTGGCTACTTAGCGAGAATCAACTCAGTGAGCAACAGATACCAAGGATGCTAGCTGATGAAGAAGACAAAGTAAGCTAAGTAGCCAATATAAGGCTTAACAGTACAGATAAATGTGGGCTCACTATTTGGCAAGAAACCGGTCACAGTTGCCCTGTTTATCTCATGTCTTGTAAAAGCTTATTAATGATTTATAAAGTGTTCACAACCTAATTAATAAATGAATTACAAACTATTCGTAAACCCTTTATAAGGGTAGTCTTATTGTAAAGTGGTACCGAAATATTTACTCTACAACATTCCAGCGAAAATCTAGATAATTCTTGATTTACATCATGAGATGTATACATTATTAGACACCTCACTCGTGTTTCATTCAGATGCAAGCACAATTGAAATGCCTGAAGACACACACATTTGCAGTCTGTATCTCACATAGCTTATAGGTTATCCTAAAATCTTCTACGTTAATCTAATATCTTCAAACAGTTGGCAGTGAAGGCTGTCCGCTACATACAGACATCGGAGAGGATAAGTTGTGCCGCACAAAAAACAAAAAATTATTTCACATTGTCAAACATGAAACATTGTTCACCTGATCCAGAACGGATTTCCCTGCTCCTAAATCACACTTAACAATGCTTAATTCATTAGATAGAGGTGGATGAATCACATGTTGCCACCAACTGACAGCTGCTGTAAGTATGTAACAAGAAACACAGCTATGACCAAACCACAGCGAGCAAAACAACATGGCCATTCTTTGGCTTCTCCACAGTTGATTTTGCACGTTAAAAACAGGGATAAACACTCGCACTATTTAGATGTTCTTTTGAGGTGTCTACAGCATATAAAGATGAGCAGCTGTTATTGTGGATCTAATGTGACCGCTGGGTTTCTTCCTCTGAAAAACCATACATGCAATAGCATAGTAAAAAGGAAGGGAACCTGACTGATATCTCCACAAAAACCAGGCATAAACTATCATAAGGCAGTAATACAAAAATACACAGTGTACAATATATAATAGGAACACTCTCTGAGGAAAATGACCAGGGGTGTAGGACTGGGGAAAATAGGGTACTGAGTATACAAGGCCCTCACATGAGGAAGGCCAACACAAAATATGAGAATGAATAGCTGTGGTTGTGCTAGGGGCCCGTAAGGACTGTAAGGGTTCTTCATTTTGTGCTACGTCCCTGGAAAGGACTAACGGATATCCTTTTGATAACAGATTATACCTCAAATACACATCAGAAGTAGGAATAAAGAGTCTGTGGTGGATCTTTGGATAATTGTGCAGTTAGTTGACATGTTTCCTCCTTTCATTTCTTCAGTCAGTGTTAGACGTGGCAATTTGTAGTCATGGTCTGCAAAGAAGCAAGTCACATGATTGCTGCTGCTGCTGCTTGTCTGTCTGGCGAACAGCAAACAGGCAAAAAATAGCTATGACTCTCTGCGACTGTCCGGTGGTTAGAACAAGCTGTGGTACCCTGGCATCAGGCTACAGCTGATCCCACGTCCCTGATGCTTGCTGATGAGCTTTTTTTTTCTTTTCGTATTGATTGGCGGTTAGCTTTCAACAAAACTGATAGTTGTTGGTTTTCATCAGAGGCTGCTCCTCTTCCTCGTGGTCACAAGACCGGTCACAGGGCCCGTCGCACGACTTGGGCGCGTCACACACTTCACCCTCTGTGACTTCCTGCGGCACATTCTGGTAGATTAGCTGTGGAGAGGCAGCATTAGGACAGTGAGACCAAGAAAGACTGATCTCAGCTTCATAATATTATGGTGTGATAATAGGAAAAACTAGCTGGTTTCAATTGGTTTCACAGTTTAGCTTAATCTCAGAGAGAATTGAATTTAAGAATGAGTGTTTCCTGAGGACACTTTGTCTGGGGCGCCACATGATTTGTTCTATTGATCGTTTTGGTAAAGCAGGTTTTGAGTCTCTGAAATGTGCTTCACACCAACTCACCTGTTCCCCGCTCAGACTGCTCCCCGAGTAGTCTCTCTATCATCTGACTGATCTTGCTAAATGTGGGACGATCTGTCGGCTCCACATTCCAGCACATCTTCATGATTGTATAGCTGGAAAAAAAACGGTATTACAAAACTGATTTATTTTTAGAGAAGTTTCCAGGACAAAAAAACATTTAAGCTATACATTTTAAGGGGGTTATATTCTTAACTCGACTTTTCTCAAACTTTGTGGTGTAAAATCAGGAAGCTGTATAAAGTCAAAAAAAAGAGAGGCTTATGGAGGTGGTAATGCAGTTTGATAAGAGAGACTCCTTCATAAGAACCCCTTCCCCTCCAGTCTCAGTACGCTGCCGTGAAATAGCAGTTATATGGCTTCCTAGCTTTGAGATCATGTGGCTAACAGGCAGCACTGAGGCCTGACAAACAGCAGAACAACAGATGAGGAGGCTCTGACTCAGATTCAGTCCTCTCCACGCTTGTTCCGCGGTGGTGTGACAGCCGCGCCAAATCAGCACACACAGATGTTAGGGTCCTCTGAGATACAGGGAAAAACACGCTTCTTATTTCTCATTTCACTTAGTAAGTTTGGAGTCAAGGTGTCTTATGTTTAAGGGATATTAGATAACTAGAAGCAGAAAAAGAAAAAAAAATTCTGTATGAAGCAGACTTTATGATGCTGAAGTGGGAAGCTTACATCTCAGCTGGGGCAAAGTTTGGTTGGCACATCTGGTAGCCACGCCTCACCATCTTGTAGAACCTGGAGTCAACAGCCACACTGGGATAGGGGCTCTTGCCTAATAAAATATAATATACATTTTAGAAAGCAAATAATAAAAAAACATGTGTGAAAATGTAGGGTATATGTGTGTGTGTTCAGACCTAATGAGAAGATCTCCCACAGGAGGATGCCGTAAGACCAGACATCACTCTGGATGGTGTAGACACAGTCAAAGATGCTCTCTGGAGCCATCCACTTCACTGGCAGACGGGCCTATACACACACGATATAAAGAGGACAAAACGTTTTATTTTATTTTCATGTAGTCTTCAAATTGGTAAATGTGAAGTAGCTCTACTCGAGGGCTTACATTGCCTTTCACCACATAGTTGGAGTCATTCATGATGTCACGGGCCAGGCCAAAGTCACAAATCTTAGCCTCTCTGCGGTCGGTCAAGAGGACATTCCTGGCAGCCACGTCTCTGTGAATACACTGCACTCACACGCACACGCACACGCACACGCACACACCCACCCACCCACACACACACACACACACACACACACACACACACACACACACACACACACACACACACACACACACACACACACACACACACACACACACACCCACACACACACACACACACACACACACACACACACACACACACACACACACACACACACACACACACACACACACACACACACACACACACCACAATGCAGCATTCAAAATTATGATCAAGTAAATGTTCAAACCAGTGGAAAAAAAACCTTCCAAATGATTTCACACCCTTTATATTATTCTATAAAAAGCCATTTTTTTACATGGGAATTTGTTTGCTATTTTCTGAAATGCAGAGGGGATTTTGTTTGTTGTTGAGGGGTTTTAGGACAAAGTTTTAGATGTGTGACTTCAATTTCAGTAATTAACTCACTCACGTTTTGGGCAGCTAGAAAGTCAAGGCCCTGAGCCACTTGATAGGAAAACCTCAGCAAGTCGTCAATGTCCAGGGGCCAGTCAGCAGCCTCCTCAGACACATAGTCTTGGAAGGAACCAAACAGTAATAATATTAGTAAGACCCAGGGTCAGGAAGTAGGGCTAATGCTTTTTATTAATATTCTGCTGCATAATAGACATGTTTGTGTCCATTCAAACTGGGATTTGCGGATGAAGCTTTTTACCTGGAGATGATTCGATACTCTGCACCGTGGTTGGTCTCATCTCTAAGTAACTGCTCGAAGAAGCACTGGAGATACCACTGTCACTGTTGGATGAAAAATAAAAGAGAACAAAGACGGAGATGTTAGAGATAGAATGCTTTTCATAAATCCTGATAAGACAGCAGATGTCCGGTGATGTACCTTCTGATGAACTCTTTGTCACTGCAGACGTTCTTGTAGTCATTAGAGTCGTCCGCAGTGTCAGGAACACTCATTACAAAGTTCTCGAACTTCTCTGCCTTTTGGCGAAGGAAGTTCAGGAGGTCGCCGAGGCTGCAGTACTCCGTGATCACAAGCACCGGTCCTGATGAGGAGGAGACACGTTATGTTATGAGCCTTTCGACAAAGGAAACGTGGTTGCATGCTAATTACACTGAACAAAAATATAAACGCAACACTTTTGTTTTTGCTCCCATTTTTCATGAGAGGAACTCAAAGATCTAAAACATTTTCTACATACACAAAATAATTTCTCTCGAATATTGTTCACAAATCTGAAAAAATCTGTGATAGTGAGCACTTCTCCTTTGCCGAGATAATCCATCCCACTTCACAGGTGTGGCATATCAAGATGCTGATTAGACAGCATGATTATTGCACAGGTGTGCCTTAGGCTGGCCACAATAAAAGGCCACTCTGAAATGTGCATTTTTGCTTTATTGGGGGGGTCTGGGGGGGTCTGAAAACCAGTCAGTATCTGGTGTGAGGGGTAGGGTTAGGGTTAGGGTAATGTTGTGAATCGAGTGGCCTGTGTTCGTCGTCCATAACATACGCCTGCCCATACCATAACCCCACCACCACCATGGGCCACTCGATCATCATCATAATCAGCATCTTGATATGCCACACCTGTGCGGTGGGATGGATTATCTCGGCAAAGGAGAAGTGCTCACTATCACAGATTTTTTCAGATTTGTGAACAATATTTGAGAGAAATGGTTATTTTGTGTATATAGAAAATGTTTTAGATCTTTGAGTTCATCTCATGAGAAATGGGAGCAAAAACAAAAGTGTTGCATTTATATTTTTGTTCAGTGTACATTTTCCAGGAACTGAACGACAAACATGTTATTGCAGCATTCTTTTTTTATCGGACATAATGCAGAACAAATTCAGGAAGTGGTCTGACCTCCGTACGTGCAGGCTCCCAGTAGGTTGACGATGTTCTTGTGATGTCCCAGGTGGCTCAATATCTTCAGTTCAGACATCAGAGCTTCCCTCTCATCTGAGTGGGCGCTCGCTGCAGAATCACAATACACATTGTCATCATATCTTCAAAATCATTTAGGCGACATTTTCTCTTGGCCATTTTCAAATTGGCCGGTCAATCTGACGTATGTAGATAAAGATCACTGTGTTAAACAATCTTGACATTGACAAACCTTTTAACATTTTCACAGCTACACGCAACTCATTCTCTTCCATTCCCAGGCCGTAGGCTGTGGCCTCAACGACCTTTCCAAAAGCTCCTGCACCCAGGATCTTCCCTGGTTGGACAGAAAATACAAGAAGAAAGCATTTTGAGTTATCCAAATTTAAATGTCAGATTATTTTTCTGATTCTATTGTTTTTATTGTTATTTTCTTTGCATACCTAACTTCAGCTTGTCTCTTGGGAACTCCCACTTCTCATTGTAGGGCAGCTGGGTGGGGTCAATGAAGGTGTAGTTGTTTCCATCTCTTGCCTCAATGATCTGCCAACGGATCTCATACCTGGGTTTCTGAAGATGAAAAAAGGAGCCAATAGTAAACCACAACAACATCAAACATCACACAAGAAGATAGCCTTCGTCCTGGGGCAATATTTCAACCGTCCAAACCACACTTTACAACTTAGACTTGTTTAAGCATCTTAGTGCATAACCTTACCTGCTTATATTTGTATAATAGGAAAACAAGAAGCACAAGGAGGATGGCCAGAATTCCTGCTGATCCAGTTAAGGTGGAAGAGAATAGTTTGTCTGTGAACCAGAGAAAAATCACTATTTTAGTTATATGGACTGTGTGTCATACAAGCAGATGTTTTCTAAGAAGAATTGTGCAGTTTTATAACCACCATAAATGGATCTGCTGACCATGAGAAAGCAATACATTTGATTTAGTTCAAGCACCATGTGACGGCACAATAGCAATTAAAAAAGTACATCAATAAAATAATCCGACACTCACCAGAAACCTCCATGGCAAAAGTGTCGCTGCTGATGCCAACAAGGTTGAAAGCCACACACTCGACCGTCATCCTGCGGGTGGACCGGCCCACGGTGAGGACGCTCTCCACCTCCACGGCCCCGAACTCCTCCCTCTGGACCTCCACCGTGGGGGCCTGGAGAGGGATGGCCAGCTGCAGCCCTGAGGTGTTTTCATTGCACCTGCCTCATTGCAAAACATATACAGTCAGACAAATGTCTTACCCCTTTAAAGTATCATTTAAAGTACATGCCATGATCCCGGTGCAGTGAAACTTACGTAGGCCTTATCCCGAAACACTGGTACCAGATGATTCTGGGAGCAGGATAGCCAAATGAGGTGCAAGTGAGGGTGGTTATGTTTTCCCATCTAACCACAGCAACAGGTCTCTCTGCCAGTGAGGAGAAATGTAATGTTAAGACAGACCAACAGCAAAGTATCATTCAGAGTTTAATGAGACTTGTATTTTCATTTTACATGATCATTTAATCGTGCCAAAAAACTGTGAATGGGTTTACTGATTTTGTCTTTACTTACGATACATCTGGACTTGGAATTTGATGGATGCATTGGCCAAGTCACTCTGGGCATACAATATGTATTGCCCTTGCTCCTGAGCATTCATTCTCTTCAGCTGCAGAGTAGCATGGTATCTTAAAATCAAACACAAATATTTTTTAGCTGAGAAAAAGAGGAACATGAAATGACTCATTTTGCAGTTCAGACATGTCCAATTCATCGACGTAGAGTAAATCAACAAGGAACACGAGAACACTGTTCTTCCCTTTAGCATGACCTGAGAAAAATGTAAAGACCTTGAAGTACAAATTATTATTGTCTGCATTTGCAAAGAATGAGTTTTTAGGGTTCGGTCTATTTGTATTTGTGTTCGTCAGCAGGATTACAGAAAACCTACAGGCTATCTATGAATCTTGGTTGAAGGGTGTAAAATGGGCCACGGAAAAAACGAAGATGGCTTGGATACACACATTCATTTTCACTTTCTGTGCCGACATCTTGAAGTAATAACATTGAGTATTATCAGAGTTTTAAATCCAGGAACCCTAGGTTAAAAACTCACATATTGAGATTATTATTGTATTATTATAATTTATATTATTTATCTCCCATTTCACCAGCACGGTTGTACCTGTTGTTGTATCTGATGAGCTTCTGCTCCTGTGTGGAGGTGTTGGGGGATGTTGGGGTGAGCCATCGATGCGCCGTAATGTGGGGGTACGCTTCGATGAACACAGTGAGCTCCAGATCTTCGCCCTCGTTCACTTCCAGTGAAAGCCCCTGATGGGCCAGTTTAGGGGAGAGCTGAGGCAACAGCCTGATGTAGGCTTTGTCTGTTGAGAAGAAACAAAACCATTTGTTTTTAGAGGCTGATGATTCCCGTCTTCATTATAAGACAAAAGAGGGAATGGTTGTTTGTGTTCCTTACCTACGACCAGCAGGTATGTGGTTGAACTGTTCACCCCTGCTTCATTAGTGCCAGTGCACGTAATATTTCCGGTGTCTGCCAGGTCCACAGCAGCAATGGTCAGGATGCTCTCTATGTCCAGGCGGTTTTCTCCATTGGAGCGAACGTTCTCCTCTATGGTGGGTTTCTAAAGGCAACATATGGGATATAAAAGCCAAGTTACAAATACTATTACTACAGCAATCAAGAACACTCCCAACATGTCAAATACTGACCGACTTGGTGGTGTATTTCCACGTGACGTTGTAGTTGAAGTTCGGGTTGTGTGTTGTGCAGCAAATCTTGAGTTTCTCCCCAACAATGCGCACATTTTCATCCGTCTCCAAGACGACATATGGAGGGTAACGAAGCTCTGGAGTAAGAGAAATTATGAAAAAGTATCAAACTTGGTGAACTTCTAATAAATCTTTGGCAGCTTTGGGTGACCATCCCTACAAATCAAGTGTCCTCACTCTGAATGACATTGATAGAAAAGGCCTTGGAGGTCTTCTCTACGCCGTTGACCCTGGCTGTGCAGACATAGTCAGTATTGTAGCTGGGATGGAGCTGGTGGATGAGGATACCACGGTGCCGGTAAACTGTAAAGTTCATCCCCGGTGGCACGGAGGTGCCGTTGTCCATGCGGAGGCCCAGGTCTGTGGCGGCGGGATCTGTCAGCAGGCAGGGCAGCAGGTAGTCCTCCCCTTCCTTCCTCACCACCTGCACAGACGTGCTGCTAGTCCAGAACACACGGTTTGGGTCTGGTATAGAAAGTGTTGTAAAGAATGAATTAGATCAAAGAGCAGTAGAGTGATGTTTGATTTACACAGAGAAGATCTAGTAAACAATCACAGACATGATTCAGTTCTTATTTATTCAAGCTTACCTTTTACATACACATGCACTGAGGAGGTGAGTTGCTGTGACCCAGTGGTGTAAACACATTTGTAGGTTCCGGTGAATTCTGCAGTGGGACGTTCCACCTTCAATGTGCGGATGTTCCCATTGTCCTTGGAAATGTAGCGTCTGTGTTTTGGTAACCGCGTTTGCCAGGTTACAGGCCGGTCCCCCTCACACCTCAGATCCAGAGGGCTCCCGAATCGGACCACCACCTCAGAGCCTGCCACCACCTTAGAGTTCCACTTGATCACTGGACGCCTCCATTCTGCTGAAAAGGAACAAAGTATGAATACATGAAGGCCTTTATTGACTATTTGCAAGTTGTGTAAACATAGTGTGTGAGCAAATGAATCAATATTAACTTTGTTGTTAAAGTTAAGCTTTTTCATGTGTTTCCTTGTTGAAAATCCAAGACTTTGTTTCTGTTTTGGTCTTTAAAAAACAACAACTGAGGACCCAGAGCTGTCTCGCCTGCTCCATGATTCAGATCTATTTTGGAAGCGCCCTTCTGTATTCAGGAAACAGACAGAAGACTGGGAGCCGAATAAAATCCCTCCCTCTCACTTCTGCTTTTTTCAATCTCAACAATTGTGTTAATACAATTGTAAATAAGTAAAGCCATATATATATATATATATAAGGCTTTACTTATTTATACTTTGTATATATATAGACTTTGTATAGGATTTATTAGTTTGAGGATATTCTTTCGGATTGGCTAACTTTTGTGAAAACACATCTTTCCTGTCAACCTGAAGCTTTCTCATTTAGAGTTCAGTCACTTTCGGTAAAGGTTATCAAAGTGTCAGTAAGAGGTTTGGACAGTGTGTTTTGAAGCTTAAAGCAGAACCAAGATTTCATGTTCAGCATTTTTCTATTCAGTAAACAAGGTACTGTTGAGAACTAGGAATGAAACAAATCAGCATTTTAGTTCTGAACCTCCTGATAGTCAGTGTAAACATTTGTCTTTCCCTAAAAATCCTTGTTCCATCGTCTCAATGGACTATTCATCCAACCGCAAAACGACCCCAATAGCGCCTCACAGTAATGCACCAGAAAGCAAAACAAATTCCTCCAGCCATAATTAAACCCAACAACAGATGCTTTTATGTACTCACATTTAAAAACATGAAATTGCAATTTGATGCTTGGCGGGTGATGTTCATATGTGTCATATTCAGAGCCAAACCCAAATGGGGAAAACAAAGTGTGTGTTTTGCATCTCAGATGAAAAAGCAGATTGTTTCTCAGCTCCTCTGGACTGACCACGAGTTTATGCCTTAAAATGTATGATGAAATCATTAGAGCGTAATACACAAGATGTAAAGTTTGTATTTTCATAAATCATTTGTCAGTTGATGCAGAGAAACATGTCTATTAGAGAATATATATTATTAAAATTGGATTTATTTAAAACTATAATACAAAGCCTTTTTCAGACATTGCTACATATTGTCAGATTTTACATCTTTAAATCAATATGAAAGTGACCAAGAAAAACACTGTATGTGTCTGTTTTATGGTGATCCTCTTCCCATTGCATTGTTTAAATCTACTGTAGGTGTAAACAATATCAACAGTAATATCAATATCAATATCAACAGAAGATAAACTGAATTCTCTGCAGGAGTGTTTTTAGGGCCTTACCTGAAGCAGCAGATGCCACAATCCCGAGCAGCAGAGCGAGGTATGACCGCATCATGGATCAACTCCAAACCTGCAGCTTGAACGTTGATTTTTGCCCTCGACAAAACCTTCTTCTTTTGTTCTGTAGTGTTGGAGAAAGAAAAAAAACCCTCTAAAGTTTAGCTATCACTCATGCCCCTCATGAACTTCTCTATTCTGACTGGTCAGAGCAGCTCTGCATGTAAACATGAAGAACTATTTCATTTACTGCAATGTTTGTCTTCTAAAAGTGTACATTCAAATCAGGAACTTATGATGTATTAGTATGACATACTTTGAGGAAGTGTTTCATACTTACAGTAAATAAGGGAATATCACTTCACTTTAAAATACAGCTGATGTATTATGCATTATTTATTTATTTGTACTCACCTGTCAATGTCTTTAGTCTCAAAGAGGGGTATAATCACTTCCCTGGGTTTGATGTTACCATCCAGAGCGGACACACGAGTCCCTTCTTCTTCCCTCTCTGTCTGCCTCTGACCTTCTTCTTCTCCCTTCTGCTTGTTTACAGTCTCTTCACTACTGAAGCCACACAGCAAACAAGAAATCTCTGAGACAGCAAGTGGTGGAGGGTGGAGGGAACTGTGTGTGTGTGTGTGTGTGTGTGTGTGTGTGTGTGTGTGTGTGTGTGCGTGTGTGTGTGTGTGTGTGTGTGTGTGTGTGTGTGTGTGTGTGTGTGTGTGTGTGTGTGTGTGTGTGTGTGTGTGGAGGCGGATCAGCCCATCACGCTCAACAAATTAATGTGCCAGTTCCAACTTGCCACAGAAAGGCTTGATTCTCCCGAGACATCCGTTGAGGTGAGACTAATCAGTTCAGGCTTTTCATGTTTAGCTTACAGGCCAGGGCTTCTGACCTACAGTAGGTGTCAGAGAAAGGCCCTATAGACTGTAGAGGGAGGAAAGTCCATATTAAGATGAATAAAAGTCATTGTTTGTGCAGTGTTTAGAGGGAAACAATAGATGTTAGCAGAGTAAGACATTCAGTGAGAGCTACAGAATTCATAGAATAGTCACACAAAAAACTCACACTTCTGCTGCAATTATGATAATACACATTTATTGTCACATTTACAACATACAATGGCACATATAAAAAATACATTTGTAAAGAGCTTTGGTACCGTAGCTTGTGATACAGTGATCTTGTGCATTTTAAAATTGCTACAGAGAATGATAATGTGTGGTGTTTAATGGTGGAAATGGTGTGAGGGAATGCTATACAACAGAAGACTCAAAGCATCATTTAACATGTACACAAACAGCAACAGTACAATAACTCTATATATCAACAATAGCTGCAAGATAAAGATCTTTAAAAGTTTATACAAAGGCACTCATGCATGCCGTCTTGTGCTAAGGCAGTGATACGCTGTATTACGAGTTTGAGAAAGTCACCTGTGGTCACAGAAACTGATTTACTGTAACAGCCACATGATTCTCAGTTGGACTATTCCCCTTTTTTGTGTCGAGAACATTTACTGTATAACTTCCTTATGAAAATCCCAATTTGTTTCTTAATAAAGTGCAAATCTGGCACAAAACTATGAATTAAAAACAAGTATAAAATTCACAAAAACTCATAAACGTTTCATATAAATCTAAAAAAAAGAAGCTAAAAAAACATCATTATGGAATATGTAACTAAAAAGAAAGTATTTCTCATAGTAAAACAGTGCATGTAGATTCTGTCTGTATTTCATGTCCTGGAAATAACATTTTATAAAAATATTATAATACAGTGAACACAGCTACTGATCGTACTTCAGGAAGAAATGTAACATAAAGTTCAAATTAAATGACTTAATGATAATGATTATCACTTAAATGTGAACTACACATTGGTCTTGTTTGAACAGTATTTCTGTACATTTGTTTATGGTTTGTTTATATTGTTGTGCTAATCATTTTGTGTTATTCAGTGGTTGTGAACAGTTAAGGGTGATATAAAACAGTAAAGGCCTTAAAAGACACACATGGCTAAGTATTTTTTAACTAAAAAGGCACATAAGTCTTTACTGACTGTAAACTGATAAGAGTGTGAGGAGAGTACCTTATCTATATTATCCCAATCTTCCATGAAATGCCTGGAAGATAACATCCTGCTCATTATTGGTAGCCTCTTAAGTTATAGAGGTACTAAGTTTCATACAAAACTCAAAAAAGGGTAAAACTTCTCTAGTGTTTAGAGGAAATCATGGTGGCCTCCCAGGATTAAACATTTAATTTCCCAGCAAAGGGTTATTTTTCTCGGGGTTCCTAGACATGGCTACAAGAAGCTGTCTTCTACCTCGGGCGTCCCGGAGCAGCCCAGCAGAGCGTCTCTCTCGCTGGTGTCCTCCGGCCGGTCCTCTTCTGGGAGAGTGTCAGCCGACATGGAGTCAGTCTCCTCCTCCAGAGCCAGAGAGCTGAGGGGGGGGGGGGGGGGGGGGGGGGTGGGGGGGGGGGGGGGGGGGGGGGTGGGGGGAGACAAAACACATACTTACTTTGTGCAGTTTTATACAAGAAATAGAAACACAGTGTTCATTAATGTCTGTGTGTGACCTTGGCAAGTTCCTTCAAGACCCATTTCAAATAAAAAATAAACATTCTGAAAAAAGCATATAATTTGGCCGACTAGAAAATACATAACTGGATTTGGATGGAATGCATCCAACACATTATTTTCAATGTTGCTAAAAAATACATTGACATTTATTTTGTTAATCAACAAATTCTTTGTTTACTAATTAATAAACTATTTCAGCTTTTCATACCTTTACCGTTATTAAGCCTGTTGAAAAATCTTGTTATCGATTTGCCTATGTACTGAATATTTCTTATTATCCCCAGCATGCGTGAGAGCGATCATGTGTTTGGTTGTGTCTGTATCTGTCCGTCTGTCCGCAGCTAATCTCACATAATACATGAGCCATTAGCCTAACGTTGAACCGGAGCATGTACCGGCTCATTCCATACCCGATATGTTATATAACCTCTAAAGTTAGGCAAAACAAGAGATGAATAAATCTCTGATTTTGTTATATTTGCCACAACCTTGACTAATAGGGTCAATTATAGGTCAACTTTTCAATATTTTTGAGGGGAGAGGGAGTCACACCTGGCGGAGATCTACTCTCTACTGAGTTTACTTTTATTTTAAGATGCTGCCTGCTGTGTTATTGTCATGAGTCTGTGGTCCTGGACCAACACCGCTTGGGGTCAAATACCTCAAATGCTAACCACAATGTTAAAGGTTCAGTGTATAGCCCAAATGTAAGCAGAAGAATCGCCCCACTGCCAACATTTAAAACACAGGGATGGAATCTGCTATCACTCCTGAACTGATTTGCTGCTTTAAACAAACAGACTAATACTTTACAGTCCATGTTCATTATTAAAAACACAAACTGTAAATATATCTGGATTTATAAAAGTCAAATATTTACTTAGGCTTTAGAGCCAACTGTGCTTGGCTGCATGTTTATATCTGCCTCCATAATGCAGCTATTGTCTCAGCTCAACATCTGGATGAGTGGGTGTGTGGTGGAAAAGAGAACTGCTCTTGTATAACAAATACATCCTCATCTTTATTCTCCCCAGCATTTGGCTCACATCTGCAGCATCTTTTTTCAGCAGCTCTGTACCTTGCAGGGCTTTCTGATGTGACATCAGTGAAAACGTCATCGGGCTTGGGGTCTGGGATGGGGATGATGTATTCGTTGTATGCAGTTACGACTTCCTGTGTGTCTGCCTCTTCTCTGAATTCTCCGGGGCCCGGGCTCTGGGTGTAGGGGTCCGGGGGGACGTAGTGCGGGGGTGGGGACCCGAAAGCTGGGTTGCCGATCGGAAAGGGTGAGGAGAGCCTGGGTTTGGTGCGGGTGACTGCTGGATGGTCACTCTTCAAGAAGCTGTCATTGACTTGGCTGTATTTCTGTTGCCAGGGGACACATTTTTGGTATTAGAAATGAAGAATCAATCCATCATCAACAGTGTGAGGTTGTAGAGTGCATCTTCAGGACATTGAGCACTAAAGAGCAGAGGTGGGAAGTAACAAATTAGATGTACTCAAGCACTGTACTTAAGTACAATTTTGAGATACCTGTACTTTACTTGAGTATTTCCATTTTATGCTACTTTGTACTTCTACCCCACTACAATTCAGAGGCAAATCTTGTACTTTTACTCCACTACATGTATTTAATACCTTGAGTTACTTTACAGATTTGGATTAATGATGTGAAATATAATCACTTAAATCAGACTTTAGTTCCACCTGGAGTAAATCCACAAGCTACCCTGCAGCATACAAGTAATTCAAACTAGCTGCTCCTTTACCAGCTTTGATAAACACATGAATTAATCAATAATTATAATCACACATAAAATAAATATTATTCTGAAATGGTCCATCTGCATAATGAGTGGTTTTACTTTTGGTACTTTAAGTATATTTTGATGCTCACATTCTTTTATTTTTACAGTAATATTTTGAATGCAAGACTTTTACTTGTAACAGAGTACAAGATCTGAGATCTTCTCCCACCTCTGCTAAAGAGTTTACATCACAGCTGTCAAGACTGTTTACTTTAAGAGGGACTGACTGTGAGTGACTCAGGCCCTGGCCACACGAGGACGAAAACGGTCGTTTGCATTACTGTTTAGTGTCATATAGACCGTTCGGCCACACGAGGACGAGCGCATACGGCACTAAACCACTGCGGAAACGATAACGGGTCCCAAGGTGGATAGAACGGCATACGCAACGCTCTGGGGGGTCCAACGGCTCCGTGTGTACGCCCTATACGATCATTTTCTGATAATGATGAGGCAATAGCCCCGCCTCTCCCCACCTCTGCTGCTCACCCCCGCGTCAAAGTAAACTGCACACTGAATTCAGATTATTTATCTTTCTCTCGATATGGACCTAAACGCGAGTGAAGTCTAATCTGACAGGACGGAGACACCTCTCAAACTACCTAAACTAGTTATACATATGTTTATTTTTACTGTCGGCCGGGTCACTCATTACTGGATCAGCTGCTGCATGAAACATACACTGACGCTGTCCGAAGAGAGGGAGGAAAAAGAGAGGCTCCATGTGTTTTATTATTATATTATATAGATTCGTTATTCATTTGTTTTAAAGCTCAATCAATAACAAAGAAGACCTTTGACCGGCACTTTAATAATTTTGTCCGGAAGATTTAAACTTTAATACACGTTGACTGGCGAAAAACTCTGCCCGGTTCCCTCGGCCCCCACCGCGGAGAATAAACAGAAGGGCAACCATGACAACCATGCTTCTTCGCTGCTTTTGTGGAGGAAGTTACAGCGCCACGTACAGGCTCCTGCATATGTACTGCAGCTTCTCCAGCGGTTGGAGCTAAACGGAGCTGTCTCGTGTGGACAGACACTATCCGGTGAATATTGCGTGTGGACAGAAGCTTTTTTGCGATTGCGTTTGCGTTAATCCTATGCGTTTAGCCGTTTTCGTCCTTGTGTGTCCTTGTGTCCTTGTGTCCTCAGTAGTTGGATGAATTGTAGATAACCTGATTTAAATAACATTTGAAGATCCAATATGTATGGTATAACGTTTTGAATCCAAGCTCACATATCAGACACCCTGGAATCAGCATTAATGTTTAAATAAAGTACCTTTTTGTAGCTGTCGGTCAGCATATTCCCAACACTTTGGACCAGAAAGGAGAACTCAGGCCTACTTTCAAACTTCTCGTCCCAGCACTTCTTCATGATTTCATAACTGCAACATAAACAACAAACAGTTAACAAATGTCTTATTCCAAATGTGTGTCTGAGTTCCTGGAGAGGTAAGATTGGTGGCGAGGTAACAATGAGACTCACACTTCATCGGAGGCGTGTGCAGGTTTGGACATTCGGTAGCCTCTCTTCAAAGCGCTGTAGAACAACTCATTCATGGGCAGATCAGGGTAGGGGGTTCCTCCTGCAGACAGCATTCAAACGTGATGTTATTTACATGTATTATCTGAGATGAACGGCACCATCTGATTACTTACATTGCTTTTATTGATTGATTTACATAACAAGTAAACCTATTCAATAAAAACACATGAATAGTTTCAAAACGAAATAACCTTAAACTGTAGGAGTGCAGAGAAAGCTCGATTTATATCTCAAAGTCAAAGTCCATCAGTCTGGAAGACAACATGTTCTGACCCAGATCTGGAAGAAAATGGATCTCTTATGTCCAATGAAAGTGTGATTCAGACGGGGAAGCGCAGAGAATCTTTGTTCATCACTTACAGAGGCTGGATTGTGAGCATATTTTCCACCACTTGAGTTTAAGATGCATATGTAATAAACTGTCTCCTTTGTTTTCTTAGTTTCCAAAAATCGTGGGAAGATTTCTTTTTTTTTTAAGGAAATGCTAATTTCAGAGATTGTCTGTGCCTAATGGGGTTTAGACCTCTTATGAGTGTTCACACAAACTGCTATGTACTTTCAATCTGATATGAAATTCGTTTTGCATACACACATTTACTGTCATTATGGACGATAAGAATATATCATTTACAGTTCCCCAGAAGTATGCAGGGGGTTTTGTTTGTATGAATTAAAGAGGATTCAAGCTGATAACATCTGTACAATGTGACCTATAAAGCAATAAAGAAGATGAATCCCTCTTATTGTATGTGCAAACTATTTGTGAGTTGGATTTCTGTTAAAGGCTTCTTGTGTGTTAGTGGTCTTTTCTGTGTGTTAATGTTGGTCAATATGAGTGTGTTAGGACTGACCCAAAGAGAAAATCTCCCAAAGAAGGATGCCGTACGACCACACGTCGCTCAGGGTGGTATACAAATTATGGAAAATACTTTCTGGTGCCATCCACTTCAGGGGCAGGAAGGTCTGGATGAAAGAAATTAGAAATTAGAAAGTCCAGCAGTTTAACATATATTCCAAAATGCATTTATTTGCTAGAATTGTGGAACCACAATGATCTTATTTTGCGGAATCTTATTTAGATATAAAGCACCTTTTAACTTAGTTTCAAATATAATCCATTACTCTACGTCATATTCATTTAGCAGTGGCCACTTACGCTGCCTTTAGAGATGTAGTTGGAATCATGCATGATGTCTCTGGCCAGGCCGAAGTCGCAGATCTTCACCAGTTTCCCCTCGCAAATCAACACATTCCTGGCAGCGAGGTCACGATGGACGCACTGTGGTTGGATAAAATTAAAATAGTTGATTTTACACTTTTGTTGGTTTAAAATAAACAAACAAGATATAAACTGTTACTTCATGATTTGAAGAGGTGCTGGTAGGTGAATTATTTTTATTTTCAGACAGTGCCAGGCTAGCTGTTTCCAGTCTTTATGCTAAGCTAGGCTAACTGGCCGTTCCTTTTTTTAATATGTTTATTTTCTATCTATCTATCTATCTATCTATCTATCTATCTATCTATCTATCTATCTATCTATCTATCTATCTATCTATCTATCTATCTATCTATCTATCTATCTATCTATCTATCTATCTATCTATCTATCTATCTATCTATCTATCTATCTATCTATCTATCTATCTATCTATCTATCTATCTATCTATCTATCTATCTATCTATCTATCTATCTATCTGTGGTGGACATAAACTAATGAATTACATTACATAATTACAATGTTATGGAATTTATACTTGAGTAATACAATTTTTATATTTGATGCTTATACTCCACATCAATTCAGAGCCAAATATTTTACTCTACTACATTTATTTGACATTATTAGTTATTTAGAAGATTCAAATGAATAAAAAATATTAAAATCCACATTTTATTTTTGTGCTTTACTTTTGCTACTTTAAGTATTTTGATATGCACTATACACACTATACTACACTACACTACACTACACTACACTACACTACACTACACTACACTACACTACACTACACTACACTACACTACACTATATACTATATACACTATAATGTCAACTTTTCAGAAGTCATTCATTACTGATTATAGATGAATCACCATATTTCACTCAGTGTGGCACTATCCATTTCAATGTGGACAAATCCACAGAATTTCGAGTTAGCCTTCAGCTACATATCAAGCAACATTCTTTTTAATATCCTACATTCTTGGAGGCGAGGAACTCCATCCCCTTGGCGACTTGGTAGCTGAAGCCCAACAGATCGTCATATGTGAGGGCAGAAGAGTCACTGATGAACAGGTCCAATCTGCTGCCACCTGAACACGAATACAAGGTGAGACAATAGACTTGGTGAGGAGCATCTCATGAATGAAGACATTGTTTTGATGTTTGGGGGGGGGGGGGCTGTCCTGTGACTGCATGGGCTGAAATGTAGCTCACGCCTTTCATATGGAGAAACATTTACAAGGACTTTTGATCAAAGACCGTAGAGTATTCCAACTGTATTAATTGATTTATGAGGCCTAAACAACTCATGTGTTCATGAAAAGCACTATTTGAAGCTCACTTATTAAAACTAGAGCTTTTCACACATAAATATCTACCAGAACTCTTCCATTGTGGGCAGCAGAAAATAAGTGGTGGGAGTCACATACTGTACTTCAAGAGTAACTCCCTTGTTTCCTGTGCATACTGAATTCTTCACACTTACTTTCATTTACAACCCTGGAAAATGAATTAGACTGTTGTGACTTAAATCAAAGTAGAAACAAACCTTGTTCCTGATAGATGTCATGCTGGTAGGGAGACTCGTATGGAGAGGGTTGGATGTCTGCATACTTGATGGTGTCCATATGCTCCTGCATGGGCATGTAGATGGAGGGCTCATCTTTACTCATGTCCATGTATCCTCCGTCACTCTCACTCCCAAAGGACACATAGCTGGAGGGACACATGAAGTGATAACTAAACAGACATAAGTCTATCTTTCTCATGTTTCTTACTCATATCAAACTTATCTGGGGACACATGTGTTTCCATGTCTTTGTTTGTGACAGCAGAGATTTCTTGTGTTTGTCTGTTTTTCTCACCCTTTCCTCTGGCTGAGTGGAGTGCTTCCTCCGGAGATGAGGCAGCTTTCATCCTGGTTCTTCTCGGCGTAGTTCTGCAGCAGGCTGTGCTTGTTCCTGTGCAGGTAGTCCACCAGGTCGCCATAACGACAGTACTCTGTCACCAGATACAGAGGGCCTGGTTGGTGGAGAAGGAGAGCCGCAATTAATTTTCATACAACAAAAATACACATACAAATGTTTTTATTAAGTTCCATGAAGTTGGTAAATACTAAGGAAAGCCTTTAAGATAAGTATATGGGCTTATTAAAATAGTCTTTTGCCTTTTCACTTGAAAGAAATCCTTAAAATAATTAAATTGTGCACTGATGCAATACCATTTTGTATAATTACATACAAAGCCTACTCATAGCAAGTTAAAAATAAACATCTAAATGACATAATTAAGAAAATACTACAAAGCATTGCACGTTTTATTTGTTAGCAATCTTGTCTGGAAATACATTCTTCTTTTGTAACATCCTGTAAAATGGTAAATCTAAATAATATCCATTTATTTAGCCTTCTCATACTATACTTAACTTTAAAAACTTAACTTGGGACAGAGATTAACCTCAAAAGTAGGTCACACATGAGGAATGGTTGCTTTTTCACCCATGTATTGATATTCCCTTTTAGAGAACATTTGAATGAAAAATGTATTTATGTAGTTCACGGACAGAGAAAGGGTCACAGAGGAATAAACAAGCCAACATTTCTCTGTTGCCTTTGCAGAGTCATCAACCAACTGAACCGCCATGACGGTTGTAGGAAATGCTCACAGCTGATTTCATTTTCATGGGTTGTTATACAAACCATGAAATGCACTAATTAATCATCTGCGTTAGCACAGTATAGCACTAGCACTCCTTGTGATGTTTACCTTGTTTGGTGCAAGCTCCCAGCAAATTCACGATGTTGAGGTGTGGGCCCAGGTGACTCATTATCTTCAACTCTGACATCAGAGCCTGAGTCTCACTCCTCCTGGCTGTAGCTGGATGGTGAGACAGAGAGAGGGAGATGTATACGATTTTATTTTACAACTGTTATTTACCCTCAACCACCCTTCATTCTACAATGTTACACTTATTTTATTTTACAAGTACTGCTTACTTAGTTAGAATTCCATTAATGTGTACTCCTGTAAGTTGTAATCATTTATTTGATGATATTTCACTTTGTCATTTAGATTTGTAATGTGTGTTGGAGATTTGAAAACATGGTCCTGCAAGTACAATGTTGTTTGGGAGTTTCCTGAAAGACATGTGTGAGTATTTAAATAATATGTGCATGCCTTTTTATCTTATAGTGTATCATCTATACTTTGCTGTAACAATGTAAATCCCCCTCTGCAGGACGAATAAAGGATTTCTGATTGTGAGTATAGGTCAGCATGAGGCAGGTGTGAGAACAGGAGACCTGAACACACTGAGAGCAGGACACACTGTGTTCTTTCCAAACATTCAATGACCTGTTGGCTGAAACTCAGACCAGGCTGGCAACCGAACTAAAGACCAGCAGGCTGCTCTCTCTCTCTCTCTGGGCTCGCAGGAACAAGGCGCTGGTGTACCAATATCCGACAGCTACTGTATGCAGGGGGCTCTGCTGTGGTCTCTATGTTATTCACACAAGTGCGCACATGGCTTTTGACTGGGTTTTTACATTGTATGTCTTACATTTCAACATTTTCACCGCAACCTTTGTGCTGGACTGGGAATGAGTGAGACCGTACGCAGTTGCCTCAACCACCCTGCCAAAGGCTCCTGATCCAAGAGTGCGACCTGAAACACAAAGACAAGCTCAGTGGGACACAGTGTGAATGGAGCACATGATAGACCTGAAAAAGAAGAGAGATCCACTCTGTTCATTCAAAGATCAGTGTAAACACATTTCTCTGGTAACTGGCCTGAGCAGGTTACAACAGATAAAGGAGTTTAACCATGGAGGGCCTGAGTGAGCTTGGGAAGCTCCCTGTCTGTAAGGAGCAGTTGACTATCAACGACACGTCAACAGACACAAAGAGCTTCAAAATGAGGACGGATTGGTGCCAAGAAAACAAGTTTAACAAACCTTACTTAGTATTCTAGCCTCCCAAACCACCAGCAGCACCAAAGTGACCTGCTGATGCTGCAAACCTGTTTCTTTGTTTTTGTCTAGCGACCTACTAAAGGTCTAAAAGTCTGTTTATTCTCATTTAACAAGTGATGTGGACACAACAACAACTGCAATGACTTGGACTTCAAGACCAACATTATTATGTAATTAGATTATTATCATAATTGTATCAAATAAAATACAATTTAACAAAGTAGTAAAAAACAAAACAATAAGCAACTAAAAAGCATGATGATTACATTAATTAATATTATTCTTACACATACAAATAAATAGAATGGTTAATGTATTTTATACATGCCAATGCAGGCTTATAATGCAATCCAATTGTATTGATTTTGTATTTAATATATATATTGCTAACTATATTATATTTATTTGTGAAATGTGTCTTTCATGTATTTTTCTTTGGATGAATTAAGTGGTATTCATCCATGTTTATGAAGACATTTGAAATAGTTTACTTATATATTTTTTATTATTATTATTTTAGTGTCTCTTTAGAGTCAAATAAAGGATGGCATTTTGTCTCTTTTCATCTGAAGACTCACCCAGCACCAGGTTGTCTCGTGGCATCTCCCAGGCCAGGTCATAAGGCAGGTGGATGGGATCCACGTAGATGTACTCGTGCCCTTCCTGGCTCACAGACTCTATCACTTTCCATCTGATCTCATAGCGAGGTTTCTGAGAGCACAGAGAAAAACACTCATGTTGGCGAATAAAAAACACCCTGAGATTTCTGTACATTTTTACTCGCTGTACTTTGTATTTACTAAATTCTAAAGATTGAGTTTGTGACTTTGTTTCTCACCTTCCTCCATACAGCAACGAGGATGATGATGGATATGATAATGATGACCACTAAGGCCAGAACAGCAGCCAACACTGCCACCTGGTAGTACAGCGCTGCAACAGGCAAACAAAGAACATTTAACAAAGCTGTCTCATATTCTCAACAAACACAAAACTTCACTTTATAAACATGTTTGCAACGCAAGTTACACGAATATTCATAGCTTCAGTGCAACAACACATTAATGCAGGTTGTACTGTGTCTCTGAAATGCGACTTCTCAAACAGGTGTTTCACCGGACCACCATGTTTGTTATCTTATACTAAAGCAGTATATTGGACATTGGCACAGTACTAATTGTAAATGACCTTAGACTACTTTCAGAAATGTCACTTTCTTTCAAGGATTCAAATATATCAAAGGCTGTATGGACACTGAGATATAAAAGACAAAGAGGTGGGACATTCTTCTGTTGACACCTACTGTTGGACACCAGTTTGACGTCTCTTCTGTCGAGGAGTCCGGCCCGGTTGCTGGTCTCGCAGCGCACCGTCACCTGCTGGGGCTTGTGGAAGGTCACCTGGCTCCGCACCTGGCTTGTTTTACGAGTGTCGTTGTAGCTCACGTTGGTCCGGATGCTCACCACCTCTGGCTCTGCTATCAGAGGCTGCCACACCTCCGTCTGGTTGCTACACCTGCAGCAGGACAAGGGAGTGAGTGGACAGAGTCAAAACAAGTCAAAGCAGACACACATCATTTGAATTGAATGAGTGCGGTCAGCCTCCTGGTGTTTGTAATGTGATGAATGTGGGACTCACTTGTGCATGCTGTCACAGCTGTACCACTGGATGCTCGGGACTGGGACCCCCTCAGCGACACAGGTCACCAAGTGTTTCTTTCCAGGGAGGTGGTGGTCCGTCAGGTCTTTAATCTGAGAGGGAACTACACACAGAGGGAGCAGCTGCCATTAATCATTGCTGACATGGATACAAACATAGTATTTCAAGTCAAGCTGCAGTTAAAAAAGTTAAACTATACAAGAACGCATTGTATGATGTGATATTCCTCAAACAGCCACTCACCTTGTACTTCCAGGTCGAACGTCACTTCCTTTGTGTCATCTCCGTTTGTGACCAGGACGCTGTAGAGGCCCTTCTGCTCCGTCCTCACCCTTACCAAGGTTAGAATAGTGACATACCTGAGGGAGAAGAGATGGTGAGGATATTTATAAAATAATAATGATTATTTATTGCTTTTTTTCAACAGAAACATTAAGATTCATATGGACAAAATGAATCATGTGCATGCTTTCAGTTTCTATGAATATATTACTTTGTTTAGAAATAGGAATCTATATTAGCTTCTTCTGGGTGTCCAAACTCATTTATAGATTATTATCCAAGAAGACCCTTTTTTGTGACCAAACATTCATTCGTTTGCCTTTTTCCTATCCTGGACGAGACACCATGTTTAAAAGGTTCAAGCAACTGAAACATTGTGTTTACACGGCACAACACATCCAAATTCACTCAACTAGGAAATCACACATGTATACCAAATGTGCACACATTAACATTCCCATAGTGACATACCAATTAAATACAGAGATAGGAAAAGTATTTAGACATAGAAGAACCCAAGATAATCACATCACATTTCCAGTGGGATCATAAAAAAACCAAACCCTGGCATAGTGTTGTTATGTTCTTTAAGAGTTGTCATGTCTTTTTTCTAATTCAGCAGAGTTTATCCCTAGAAAAATACAGTCACATCTGTTTTTTTTTGTTTTTATGTATGGGCTTGTGGTTGTCTCCAATTTGTGAACCGAGCATGCGGATGATATTTCACTTTGTCTCTTTGATTCTGAATGTGTGTTGGAGATTTGAAAACATAGTCCTGCAAGTATACACGTTGTTTGTGATTTTACTGAAAGACATATGTGAGTTGTGACAGGTATCCTGTGCTTATGGTTCCAGTGTGATGAGTGATGGAGTGGGCCCTCTTGAGAGTATAGAGTTTCTCTCTGCAGAGGCCTTATCTGGTGACGACTGACAAGAGCTGCGCGCCTCCGGAGGCTGTCACCCTAACTGAAGTGCTAACTTCTTAAATGGATCAACTTGTAAGAGTTCTATAATTAGTTTTATGGTATGTAGGACATTTTTTATGGATTCGGTTGGTCTCACCTGATCTCATGCTCTTGTCTGGTTGTGATGGGTTTGTGTCCCTTGATGGTGGCCCCGTCTTTGCTCCAGCGGACCTGAGGGGGAGGGTAGGCTTCAATCTCCACCCTCAGCTCCACGTTCTCCTGCAGCCGGGCTGAAATGTTTTGTTTCCGAGCCGCCTTCACGTCCACAAAACCTCGCTCTGAGCAAAGAAAATAACATCATTAGCAACAAAACATAAATGTCACACACTGGATCTTCTGCATCAAATCTTATTATGTAATTCTCCGTAGGTTTAACACAAGAAGCTTTCATTCAGTAGTCTAGTAATCCATTGTAAATATAACATTATTAATTGAATTATAGTAATATTATTGATTATATTTAAGTTGGTAGAGACAGTACTGGAGTGCTGCTGTTGGTTGCTGACCTTCTGTGGCCAGACACTATCTGTCTTTTCCACTGACATGTCCAGAGACCATTACTAAACTGTCTCCATGGAGCATGGCGGCTCAAGCTATTCAAGGATTTCATAAACATAACACACCTCGCTGCAGAAAGAATAAGCATTCACAGACCCAGACGCACACTCAGTGACTGTCAAGAGAGAATATTGGCGCAATGAACCCTGTTTTTATTCACCCTCAAGTTGCAAGATCACATATTGCTTTGATGCTGAACTTATTGAGGGTTTATGTTAACATAGGCTCAGTTTCTGCAGTGGCACAGGGATGTTTAAATCTGGCCTGCGGTCTTTCGACACATGTCATCTTCCCCTTTCAACGATGTCATTCTGCAATAAAGGCTAACCTGGTCCAAAAAAGAAAAAGCTATACTAACATTTGTCTACCTGGAGTTTATTCCCATAAGTCTAAATATAGATCAGCTGTACCCCCTTGGTCTGTTATTCAAGGTATCACTCAGGGCATCCGCACCATGTGAACAGAAATAAACAGAGGTCCTCTTCATTTCCTTTAAAAGAGAAACCTCTTTCACCTTGACTTGAAGAGGTTTATATAATAAACGGGATTTCTCTCTGTCAGTGAAACACAATAATAATCCGTCCAGCATCAGTTTGTTTTAGTTTTGTGTGGGTTAGGCTGACCGAGCACAGTGATGTTGACGCTGGCAGAAGCAGTCTGGTCTAGGACAGGCTCGTGGACATGGCACACGTAGTTTCCGCTGTTGGCCACCGTGGCGTGAGGGAAGATCAGGAAGGAGCGCATGTTCATGTTGGGCAGGACGTCTGTCAGCGGCTCGACATCCTTGAAGAAAATGGAAATTGATAAGAATGTGACATTTTAATAGTTGAATGATCCTGGTTGAAATGTGCAATGTTGCATCTACAGTATGTATTTGACTGCTCTATGACATTCTGTAGGGTTTTTCTTTATAATGAAAACTTTCAACAACAACAAAATCAAAAAAGAAAGAAAGTTGAATATGATCAAAATGTGAGTGATCAGCTATCTGCATAGTGAGCAATCATGAAGTAATGTGTTGTTTTATTTTTAAATATTTGAATTCCTCTAGATTCTACATGTTAGTGAGTTTTCTGCCTTCCTCAGTTTAAAATCTTAAATGAATCTGAAAAGCTGAATATTTTTATGATCCCAGAATGAATTCAAAAGAACAGACCATTATAATACCAACACCACATGTTGTCAGAAGAATATCACAGGGGGAAACAAATTGAGGTGTGTCCACATCTTGATACCATTAGGGCTTGGTCCTGAGGCCCGAGAGTGATCAGGAAGGGAATGCTGAACAAAAGTGTGTTTCTGCTCCACTCCCACTCACCTCACTATTGGGCATATCCCAGGAGAAATCTGCTATCTCCACTCCGTGCACTGTGCAGTTTACAGTCAGCGGTTCGCCCTGCTTCAGGACGGTGTTCGACGCATTGATGTAGACGTCGATGGCCTCTGGGACTGGAACGGGAAGAGGGAGTGTGGGGGAGGAGGAAGAGGTGATGATGTTATTAATCAAAACAATATGTTGAAAAGTGTCCTTCACAACTAATCAATCACATAATTGTTCAAAAATATACCCTCAACTTATATCATTATCTCATCAGTATTAGTCAGAACTGAACATTGTAGCTGGCTCCAATATTGAACAAAAACTCTAAAGCTCCACAAAATCAAAAACATGTACTTTTAATTTCTCTAAACATGATGTGCAGCATTTATGTGTGATCTAGACATATTATTGCACACTGAGACCAAAGACCCAGTATTTACCTCATTATCTCCTCACTTTAAAGAACTCACACACCCTCTAGTAGTTTTTCAGAGAGAGTTGTAAAGTGACCAAAGCTCCTGTGTAAGTATGGGAATGGATGAAACTTTTGGACTGACAGATAATAATTTGGCTACCAAACTTGTACATAATGCTGCACAAGCTGTTTGAAGAGATCTGATGCACATTTTATGAGTCATTTTATGGCGCTTTAAAAAGATAGACCCATTAACTTTAATAGTGTGGGTGAAGGCATACATTGAATTAAAGGGGCCAACTATGTGTGTGTGAGTTTTCTGGAGTTTCAGCACACACAGGGTCGAGTCGATAATGAACACATTTTTATCTTGGGAAAAGTTGTTTCTCTAACTGAACTCTTTAACCTGAACACTCACTGGTAACGCTGTAGACGTAGAAGGCCTGAGACTCCATCACCTCCCCGTTCATCTCTCCACGACACACATAGGTCCGTTCCTCCAGCGGTGCCTTGTACCCCTCGCTGGGGACATACAGCCCCCTGATGGGCTGATCAGTGTCCCTCTCATACAGGGTGACGTTGATGTCAGGATTGCTCACCACACAGGGGACGGTGCTCTCCTCACTGGTCTTTGTAACCATGCCGTGGGAGCGCTCTATGAACCACACCTCAGGGTCTGCAGAAAAACACAATCTGATTGATTATATACTCTAAATCATGGATACAACTCTAAGTGTACTATATGTTGTCACTTTACCACACTACAAACCACATCAGTGTGGAATTGAGACAGCTATATTTTATTAATGAGATACAGTCTTGTTTCCACTACACAAGACATACTGAGTCAATCTTAAATTGTCTTTGATGTACAGTAAGGCAGCTCTTACAGGAAACTGAACCAGTACCTGGAACAAAAACAGCCACCTCCTTAGTTTCTCCAGTGTGTCGGTCAACACACAGATACACCCCTGTGTGCTTCCAGCTCATGTTCCACAAGCTCAAAACACTGGATGTGATGTTGCTTTGCACAATTTGGTAGCTAGGACCACCATTTTGAACTTGTTCCACTTGGCAGTACGGCACATCGTCCCTCTTGAACTCCCAGGTGGTTTCCCCTGAGCCGGAGCAGGTGAGGTTGAGAAAGGAGCCTTCAGCCAAGGTGAGCTCTTTGTCATCGGGTGAGATCTCTACACAGCGCAGCTCGGTGCAGAAATACAGGAGAGCTGCAGTTGGCACAACAAGAAGAAAGGTCAGGTTGGAGGTCAAAGAGGCAGCAGCATGAGGTCAAAGGTTAAATCAACAATACATGGCAGATCCTGTTCTATCTCTAAATGTTGAAGGATATGAGCTGCTGGAGAGGAAATGTGGGAGGATAATGATGCCTTGTCACTGACAGATGTATTGCAAATGACAGAGGTTAGTTTAAATGCATCAATGAAATAAGTAATCCAAAAATAATCAATAAAGTGTCTTTATATATATATTTATATGTCTATATTAAAGTTTCCTGTACTTTATAACTTCATACACTGAATAACATTTTTGGAAATCTACCCCCCTACCCAACCTAAAGAACATATTTCATACTGTTGTGTTAATGTAATGTTAAAGTTACAACCATGCATATATTAAGTTTTATTTGGATGCTTTTACTTTTGAAATCTGTAAGATACAAAGCTTGCATATAGGCTTGGCGTCATGCTCTTCGCTTCCCTGCAAAACAACCTGCAGTCCTGTTTCAGATTTCCATTTGTGTTTGTTTATTGAAGCTCTCACCTGTCACTGTGACCGTCAGATGAAGCGTGGATGCCGTCCCCCTCCTCATGGTAAAAGCATTCAATGCACTTTATTCTGCAGGACAAAAAGAGTGATGACAATGCTGATTAACCTTCATGTACCCTTAATGGAAATGTTACACCCCCACATTGCCTTCAAAGTAAATGTTTCAAGAAGAAAAAAGATCATTCTGTCAACAAAATATTCAAAAACTGCTGGTTGACATAGACCCCACTCAACCCAGCACAACAGTTGACATCTCTCATGAGGCTTCATATCATGATGGATTTATTCCTGTCCTCATGAGCTTTAACAGGTCAGGCAAAGCAGGAGTTTAGATATTAAATCACATTTTAAAAATTGTTTCCATCAAAGTAAATGCTCTGCTCATACTAAGGAAACAACATATAATTAGTATGTCGTCAAGCTGCTTTCTTTAATGGTTTCTGGTCGTCAAACATGAGTCTGAGGTGCAGATGCAGTTCACTCTGGAGGTATTTTATGCCTCGCTGCACCAGGACAGAGCGACAATGTCTGTTTCTTTTTGTTCCCGGTTCACCGGCATTCTGCCCACTAACAAACGGGTCACTGTGTGCAGCTTTGCAACACGCTCACTGGCAACAACGCTGCGTCCAAGCTGTGCTGAGCCATTAATTGGTTTTGTTGTATACAAAAGTGAAAATGAGGGCATTCACACAAGCTGCTGACACAGTCGTGTACTCATGATTCTGAAAGTTGCTTAGGTTTTGATATATTAATAGGATATCATGTTGTATATCAACTTGATATCAGTGTTATTGGGGTTAAAGGTGAATAATACTTACTTTGCCATCCTCCCATACAAACATTAACCACTGTTACCATTGCCAGGAAAAAAGGCAGAAGGAGAGATTGAGGAGGGGAGGAATGGTTTGTTATTATGTTTGGGATGGGGGTTAAGCCTTGCAGCAAGCACACGTCTGGAAACAGTTAAGGATGGATCACAGGCCTGTACGCAAGAGGGTGGGAAAGAGAGTGAGGGCGGAAGAGCGTGCCTTGGGAAGAGCGAGGGTGGAGGAGGAAGTGAGGGAGGGAGGCAGTGGAAACATTGTGAAATGTATCTTGAGCAATCTTAACCCATATAACGTTATTACTCGATAATTCATTCCAATTTTACAACTTCTATTTTAAGAAATGTGACTATCTTTAACCATTTTGTTTGAGAGATTACATTTCTCAATCTTATCTCAAACTTTTAGGTGATTTGCTAATATTCATTGCAGTCCAATACACAGATTTAGTGATGGCTATTTTTAAGAGAGGACAGATGATTCGTCACTGTGGTAAGAAGTTCCATGACTAACTAATCAAAGCTAGTTACTCAAACCAGAGATACATGTTGTCTCTAAATTAACTGCCTAACTAAACCATAACCTCTTGAGTTGCTCCAAAAACATGACTGGTCCATTTCCTCCCCAGCCTCCTGGTTCTAATAAAAAGGGGTGAAGGAGAGACATTTTCTCCTTTGTGTCATAGTCCGCACATACACACATCCTAACTTGCACATGTGCTAAAGCACACACACACACACACACACACACACACACACACACACACACACACACACACACACACACACACACACACACACACACACACACACACACACACACACACACACACACACACACACACACACACAGTTCAAGTTCCCACAGTATATCTCTGGAACTTTCCCAGGAACGCTGATACACTTGGGACCCTGCTGGTGATGACGGTGGGAGCAGGGGGGGCCACCTTCTCCCCGGGGGCCCCAGCAACAAGGGACAGTCCACTGAGGAAGCCATACATCAGCGCTTACGAGAACCATCGTGTCAGGGACGATGATTCTGAGCGACAACAGCCAAACGCGGCGACGCCAAAGCCATGTGTCTCTTGGCAGCATGAGGACTAACAAATCTTATTGTGACTGGCTGCTGATTCTATTTCTGCTTAGCCAAGCCAAAGAGCTACATTAGGGCCACTGCAGGATATGAGTTTACATCTGAGATCAGCAGAAAATTGAACAAGAAACTAGGTGTGTTCAAATCTTTTTTTGAGGTCTTTGAAAAGGACGGAAAGATAATGTTTGGCTACCGCAACATGATGAGGTTTCATGTTGACCAATGGGCAGGGGGGGGGGACTTTGAGCAGAGAAGGAATTTGACCCTCAAGATATGATGAGCTGACAAGGATCAGAGGGCCATAGAGAGCCAGACGAGCACTTTAAAGAGTTAAGAGAGTGAACACTACAGCAATATTTAGCAAGTATTTGGAACATCAAAGTCAAAGTCTGTCTGCAAGGTTATCTTAAGAAACTGTTGAAAACATTTGTTGTGCTTTGTCACGGTTATATCTTTGATTTGTTTGAAGGGGTCAGGACACAAGTCAATCTGGCAAGCAGCTTTGACAGTATCTCAGTAACTTTGACTTAATAAAAACAAGTGGTAGCAGTTTGACACGTAACAAAACGTGTTGTTTGTAGCAGAGTCAAAAGTGGTGCTTGAGGATATTTACAGCTAGAAAAATCCTTGATATTCAAAACTCAAGTCAGGTCAAGTGGCTTTCAATCTAAGGAGCTTGTGGAGGGTCTTAAAGATCTGCATTTTTTTTTCTAACAGAGATGTTTATTTATGTCTTTTTAATCTTTGAAATGGGACACTACATTTCTGAAATGATTGTGGAGGTCAAAAACAAACAGTGTTTATGTAAGTGATGGCACAGTAATCGCCTTGACGGATAAACTGTTATCCCACTGTATATGTTTTCCCACAGATGCTGGGAATTTGGTGGCTGACTGACCCCTTTCTGGTTTTGATAAACAACGCTGCTACACTCAAAGTGTCACAAGCTAATGAGGAAGAATGCTAAAATCGACCTTAGCGGGACACACGCAGCCCACGCATAGCCCCACAGCAGCCCGTAATCCCACTCCTGGGATTATCTATATATACTGTAGCTACATGTTTTATTCAAACATCTGGCAGCGATGAAGCAGTCCTCGATGAGGTGGGAACTGCTTTGTGAACCACGTTTGCAGCCAACTGTTTGCTCAAGTGGGTCCCAAGGGGGTTGCATTTAGAAAAAGTGTAATCTATAACAAAAGAGGAGAAAGATGTCCAAAAAGCAGCTGGAGAGCTCTTGACTTTCTTGTGTGGGTGTGAGGCTGCGATGCATCACTGACACAGCAGACCACCGCAAAAACTAACCAAATACTCATGGAGAAAACAAGAGATGTCACAATGAGTAGAGGACAAAACGAAACTTCTAAAAGAGGAAAAACAGTTTTAAATAACAAGCTGCAGAAAAAGATGTAAACACACAATCAGGACTGAGAAAAACAAAAACAGATAGCAGGAGAAAAACGAACTGAACAAATACATATCGACATGGAAGAACTTAACCAATTAGACAAATGACAAAGCATGACAAATCAACGCACCACAAAAACACCGCACACAGCACCAGACTTGCCGACATACAGAATACAATTGATATGAAACACCACATTAAAGCACAGAGTGAGACAGCAGAGGGAGTGCACACACAGCTTACATCACACACACACTGATGTTTACTCAGTGTACAGGAAGCTGTTATCTGCAAAAAAACTTCTCTAATTTAGCGGTCACTTGTTTCCAATGCAAACAATTATTGCTCAGATAAAACAATCACTGAACACTAAAGCTGCAGTGCAAAATAAATGCACTCTTTTAGCTTTTAGAAGGATGTGAAGTTGTGTTGGCCTATCTCTGAACAGCAGGACTTTGGCAAGCTCTGTGGGAAAAAAATGACCCAATGAGCCTTTGCTAAAACAAACCTCCATTTTTATCACGGAGCAACCCCCCTGAGACAAACCTTCTGGTCCCTCTGCAGCAGACCCACAATGCACTTCACCCATCCCAGGCACCCTAGCTGTCCCCCTCTCTTGGCTAATACACACTGTACTTTGCCAGAGCTGTAATAATGAATGATGAGCCACAGGCTTATGAGTAAAAGGCCGTTTCAGCGCAGAGAGCACACATGTCATCAATGTGCTGTCAGAATTTTCTAAGTTACTGTAAACAGGAAATGTGTGCAGTCTGTTTATGGAGCCTGTGTTTGTATCATAAAAATCCATCTTTCATATTGAAGAAGGAGAAAAGAAGACAGTTACACTTCCAACTTGTGAGCTATGAACATTTTTAGTTTTTGCAGAAATGTCAGGGCCTCATAAATAGGTTAGATTCCATGTGTTTGTTCAAAGCACTTTTCGAGCCATGTGTGCCATAAAGCTGCAGTAATAGACTTTTTCTGCCAGTTCCGGTGACCTTAACACTTAACAGAAGTTCCATGGAAATGGAGCACATTTTTTTAAAACAGTTATTGGTGTTCCCTAGTCAGGTGCTATTAGGCAATTACATGTTAGACGCTTTTATCCATAACGACTTACATTCTCAATACTGTGGGCAATCCCCACAGGAGCAATTTGGGGTGAAGTGTCTCAGGGACACAACAACATGCTGACTGCAGTGGGGTTTGAACCTGTGCACCTCTGATCCGAACACCAACGCACTAGTCCACTGCGCCACAGCCTCCCACAATAAGATAATGTAATAAAACGCTTGCCATTCAAATCTCAAACAATGAAAACAGAAAACGTTCACACATGGCATTTACGCTTCTGTCATGACCATCACAGTCTCCTCTTTGGTCCCAGATACAGATGTGATGTTTGCCTCTTTTTGATATTTATGTGACATGCAGATTTCTTTGCTAATGACTTTTCCCGATCTGAAAGCAACAATCTGAGGGGGGCTGCAGAGTCAGGAGATCTCTCTCTGTTGTTTAATCAATAGAAACATGGAATATATACATATACGTAAAACATCAATAGAGACGTGCCACATATTTCTAAACTCAACTTGTCTGTGTCACAATCGTTTTGGCAAACAATGCGAGACACATTAATGCTGAAATGAAGTCTGACATTGTTATTGTGATAGCTGCAGTGGCTAACAGCATTAGTTTCAGTTTGATAGATATGTCTCACTTACAGTGAACCCAAACAAGAAGCTGCCGTTCACAGCACTTTGAAAAATTATGTATCATCAAAAATGTATCCTGTAACTTTAGAGCTGGGAGCTGCACTAAAGCCACATAAAGTTTGCAATATCATATCCTTGTTCTTTAAAAAAATGAAGTCCCTTACCGTTACTCCTGTTGATTAACCCCTCTGGTTTCATTTGGTTCAGCATTAGGACACAGTGACTGTGAGTGGTCTTACCTCAGCAACCAGAGTGACTCTGTACTCATGCTGAAGCAACACATGTTTGGGAAACTGTGGATTTTGGTTTGCTGCCTTTCAAACAGGGTTGTAAATGCTGTTTGTAGTGGCGGTGGGGGGATGTGAAGGGCTTCTGGGTAAAACTGACGGTTGTAGAATGACAGCCTTGGATGTGGCTAGTGTTTGAAATCAGTTTAATGGTCTAATTTTCGACTCATTTGGGAACCTAAATGAGGGAAAAATAAATAAAATGACAAAAACTAAAGCAGCTGTTTTCATTGAAGTCATGTCAATTTTGCAGAACAAGTCAGGGTTAATCTGAGTGTGCTTCGTCCCAACCCCAGCTAATGCAAACCACCAATTGGGAATAAGGGGATATCAGGTATATGTGCTAGCATAAGCAACAGCACATCCTCCCACGCTATTTTGAGACCTCTGCACCCTCCTTTTTCCTGCACACCGGCCATCACCCCAACACTTGAGGGTATAAGCCCCTCAACCTGCCCCGTGAGAAATGGAGGACGCCTACACACACTTCCAGTCCATCTGACACACCCACCCCCCGTAAAGTTAGAAACAGCTGAATACAATTAGTCCTGACTGGCTTTACGTTCCACTCCCTAAACTCAATAATGTTGGAAGGAAGAGGAAAACGCAGGAAAAAAGTGACAGTGAAGCATCACTCTGGCCTAAATTATTCAATGTGTGCAGATTTAGTCAAATTTAGCTGCAAAACAATCTTGGAAGAGGTATTTTGGGTATTGACAAATCATATAACTGTTGCTCAAAAATTTTACCACATTTCTCATAAACATAAGACAACCTGAGAGAAATACAAACTAGTCTCTGTTTTTCATTGTGTGGAATATTCGTATCTTGGAAAAGCAACGGCTGTTTTTCTTTGTCCGCCTGTTTCACTGCAGTACATCACCAATGCTAGCATGTTTTTGTTGGACCGAGGACAGCAACAACTCTAGAGAGAAAGAGTGGAGCTTTATAAGGATCTGATTGAAACATAACTTCCTGCTGAAAATCTGGATTGTTCTATGGTTATGGTGAACAGGCTTTGTTTTTGTTGATATATTTACCACAAGAGTTGCTATTGTCTTTCTGTACAGCACATGCAGTGGACAGAACAGAACATTATTTCCCTCTGCAATGTAGTTTAAATGTAGTTTGCCATATTTACAGTTTGTACAGCCTTGAAAATGACCTCTTTGCATTTTAAGAATGATTTCATGTGTGATATTATAAATCATAAAGAAACACTTCCTCCAGGAGTTGTCCTGCAGAGGTCCTGTGTTCTCTGGCTGAGGATGAGATGCAGCTGCCTGTCAGCTCTGTGAGTGGGTGGGAGAGAAATAAGGAGAGAAGGAAGGCCAGATGGACGGGCCGCTGTACAGGATGCTGCATCACAGCTCCACTTAGTCTAGCTATGTGATTCAAATAATAAGTACCACATTTAAGAATCAGTGACCCATAGGCACGGCAGGGACATGAGACTGATATGATTTCTAAGAACCAACAGCTCAGTTGAAAAGTATGAGGGGTGAATTATGAATCAGCCAATAAGTGACTGAGTCAGAGTGTGAGTCAGACACTGCTATGTCTAAAAAAATGCACTCACCAATAAGAGTCAGAATAATCACGTGATAACATTTCTGATAGCTCTCTCTGCATTACTTGTTAAACTCTAAGCTGCATGCTGATCTGAACAACGTCACACTGGTCTTCAGAGCCCGGTTGCTGAACAGCTGTTAGTTCCGCTCAGAGTAGATAAATCACAAGAGGACAGAAAAAGGATGAATGTGTTTCAAAACTTGCTGCTGAGTGCAGGCTGTTACATATCGGCACATGTGAGCCAAGCCAGACTCCTGGCATGTTGTCTGCATGGTCATAATGTAAAGCACATTTTCTGAGAGCGGCTGGCATGTGGAGAGCCCGGAGAGCCAGGAAACAGCTGATGACGAAGGATTAGGTCTGGGCTGCGCTGCATCGGGGCCGGGGAGAAGAGCTTCAGTACATACCAGCAGCCTGACGCACAGGAAGAAAAATCCCCAACCGTCCACAGACACATAAAACGTCACCATGTTTCACAAACCCAGTGCAATAAAGATCTGTCAAGAGTGTATTCCCTGGTCCTGTGTTCAGCAGGAATCATCCGGCTGATAGTTAAACTATGACATGAATGCAACACCGTCTATTGCCATTGATGGTAAAGTATGACATGTATGCAGTTTCCCAAAAGCTCATCTAGACGACAGCATTAGACAAAGTCTGCACCGATATATCCACAAAGCCAGAGAAGATCAAAAACTTCAAAAAGAAACTCCCAACTGAAGGAGAGCAGCAGACACAAAAAACATGCCAACGTTGTTTTGACTTCAGTCTGAGCTAATTCAGAGAGGTCATCTGTATGAAGATGATGAATGTGCAGAAAAGCAACCCAACAACTTAACACCACAGCAGCCGCACATAGTAGGGAAGTCAGGAAGCTTTCAGGTGCACAACATATGGCGGATTAGGGAGAAAAGACATCCATGTGTCTGCCATGAAATAGCTCACATTGCTATAATGTTACTCATGCCAGGCACTTAAACCTTCTCCTGTGATGAATGAGAGGGGGTCTCTGCGTTCCTCAGACAAGACTGTATCACTACTTTATGAGGCTTTTCCTTTTTCAAAAGGATGGCCGAGTCTTTAAGTTGGGAATTGAGGTTGCTATCATTAGGAGATCCAGAGGATGCAGAGTGACTAATGCCGGGACTGATATCAGTACACAGCCACGGCTTTTCAATAAGCTTCTCAATGTAGCAATAGACAGAGGATTGATTCTGTTAGGGCCATCCACAAGGGAGGAAAGAGACTGATGGTCTAGCGCCAGTTCACTCAGGGTGACTGAAGAGAGCTGTATAAACAAGCCCTTTAGCAGCGGAGCACAAAGTGGAGCACATACAAACAGCTTGTGCCATAAAGACCAGTGTGTGTGTGTTTGTGAGACCCTGGGATACCTTGTCTAACACATTCTCTAGTGAGAAGGTAAATATTGTTAAAGTTGCGCTAGGTAAATAATGAAAAGGTGTCTATGTGCAGAGATGCAAGCCGTCACTGTGTTGATGTTTGAACAGGTTGCTCACACTCTTTCACATTGTAATTCCTGTTGTGTACACATGCAAGTATGTGGAAAACAAATACCGCCAACAGAAACACATTAGCACTAAGTAGCAACAACATCACATCAAAACAGACATTACTTTTTTTGTCTTCAGCTGATGAACCTGCTTATTGTATCACTTTAAATCAAAGGTAAACATGCAGTACAGAGCTGTAAGGATGAGGGGCATCCTCTCTGACAGACAGACATGTAATCTGTCACAGTGGGTTAATGCAGGCTAAGTGCATTTTCACCACTTTGTACAGTTCATCTTCATTTCTGTCAACAGCTGTCAAGCACCCATGACTAAAAGTAAAATCTTTAACAATGACAGAGAAACAAGATCTCTTACCTTCAGAGTGATCCTACAAGTGTAGACTTCCCTCTCTGTCCGAGGAGTTTGTCTGCCAGCAGTCGGTCCCCTCCTTCTGAAATCAGAGGAAAGACTTCCAGCTGGTTGTCTCTACAGGGGCTGCTGCCTCAGATGTATAGATCCCTCAGATGTTCAGAGTCTGAGGTTAATCTCCGCTGTCCCGAGAGTCCGCCGGATGAGGTACCGCTCTGAGCCCGGCTGTTTGTTTGGTCAAATCACAGCACCACAGGGGGCTCCTCTCCTCTCTCACACTCTGGAAAAGCCTGCCCACTGCTCCTAAAGACTGCTGTAAGTTTAAAAAGAAGTGTCCTCAATGGCTCACACACATACACACTCCCCTGACAGATTCACACAGAGGAGGGGGCCGCTGGTCCAGCCCGGCTGTAGCCAGAGTAAGAGTGAGTTGGAGAGGGAGGGAATTGTGAGTAGGAGTTTAGAAAAAAGCTTTAGAGGGAAGTTTTAAAAAGGAGTGTAGGGGGAAAGAGAAAAAACAGAGGGGGAAAACTTCAAATACAGATTGAGTTCTGCTTGTTGTTCTTCAGTAGCAGCTCAGAGGTCCCGGCTGGAGTGATTTGTTTATGAATGGGGTGGCAGGCAACTGGAGGTGAACTGAGACGGTCTCTACTGGCAACAGGAATCTGGACCGCATCTAACCCCTCCATAAAACAACAAACACAATCAAAAGGAAGGAGTGAGTGAGAAGCCCAAGCTGGAAAAAAAAAGTTTTGGCAAAGCTCATGGTGGCCTGCTTTAGAAACAAACATAGAAGTCTCCGTTTCTCAGGAAAATAACATCACTTACAAAGTCCCGCTGCAAGAGTCAGGTGTAATAGAGGTTAAACACATTTAACATTGAACTTTAATTAACCCATTTAACCCTTACATGTATTCGTCTTTTTTAATTTCATGTCCTTTTCTATTAATCATACATAAAAAGAAATTCAACAAAGTCCTCACCCCCCTTTCTGACTCTTCATTCAATACCTCTGTTTCATGCATTGGCACTGTCCCTAATTTCTCCCTTTCCCATGAGTGAAGGGCTTGAAATTCATAATGCAATCCTGCAGCTGACCAAGGCTTTTCTCTCTAACAAGGGGTGGGGGGGCAGACAAGGGGAGGGGGGGGGGGGGGGGGCGCGGGCTAAATTGGACAGTAACTATGTTCTCCTCTAATTGTGAGGGTAAATCTAAAGGCCCTGCTAGCAGTAATTAGAGAGCCGGTGAAGCCCCAGTTATTAGTTAGGAGGGGAGCAACACCACGCGGGACTGTTTCATTTCAACATCAGTCTATTTCTAACTCTGTCATTAACACCTTCTTGCGATATATCCACCGACTTTGCCCCATAAATCTACTTTTGTATGTTTAAGTACTTGCAATGTAAATTAAAATGTTTACAAGAGATAATATGAAGCAATAATACGTGACATTAACAATAGCAATCCTTTATCAGCTGAGATAAGACACTATCTAAACACCCTGCAGCCCTAAAAGTGACACACTGGGTTTAAATATCTAAAGTTAATCAAATAAAGTGAAAGTCTTCTAAAGTAAGAGTAAAAAAGCAGATATGTCTAACACAGCCTTTTGTTGTTACAAAAAGTGTTGGATAAACTGAACACAAGGGGGTGTCTGGCTTTATATTTGACTGCTTGTTTATCTAGCAGCTCGCCAAAGTGCCAAATCACATGATAAACCGGACTCATTCTGCTCCAACAATGCCCGGTCTATTCATCCTATCAGAACATTTAAAGAGTGGTTTCTCTCACTGCTGATCTGGACTGTTTCCACAGCTGAAGTAGTGCGGGTGCGAGCACAGCAACAGGGGAAGGACCCAATTCCAGACAACGCAAGCAGACAGTAACAGAGATTTATTGAAAAGGGAACAAATATATGCTTACTGGCATGTCCAATCAGAAGTAGCTTTGCCTCCACAGTGGAGCGAAGGGGCAGCTAAAGTTGAGGCTTGGTGAAAATGAGTGGGAAAAGGCTGCAAATATCTGCAGGGCTGATGAGGAACGTTGGAACAGGTGAGCGGTGAGCAGGGAAGGTCAGGTGACTGTGACAGGAGGGCATCTGGTGGACAGGAAGAGAACAGCAGTGAACGGGACTGAGAAAGTGGGATTGTGGCTGGAAAGAGAGGCAGAACGTGATACAATGACCCTGTATGCTGGCCCTGTGTTTGTGTTTAGCTGGATTTCGGATAGAGCTAAAGGTTATCTCCCTGTCTGACAGCCAGTGGCCCCTGGAGGCCCCTGGGAGAGGGGGAAGGGAGCTAGAAGCAGGAAACTCTGGGGCTGAGGCCTAGACCTGGAGCTGAACTCAACACATCTCTGATAGATGAAGATGGATGAAGCCATTAAAGAACTGAAAGATAATACATTGTGCCGATAAAGGTTGTAATAGTAAGAGGCTTTGAAACAGGCCTACTCCATTCAGACCCAAACAAACCTGAAACTCAGGAAACACTGGGGAGTTTACAACTGCAATAATCATCACCATATCAATGTTCTAAGATACCCTTTCTCTAAAAGTCAAATTAAAGAGCACAATTCACAGCAAAGCAAAGTAGGAGCAACTCAAATCATTGCTGACACAATATGTTCATTATTCTACAAATAACCAATTGACAAAACAACATTTTACTATTTGATAGTAGATTGATAGAAACCTTTTTCTTCACAAAGGTGATGCTTTAGTACCTTGTTATTGTTCAGACACAATACATTTTAAGAGATTGTTTTACTATTGTTTTGATTTAGTAGGAAAGAAAATGAAGACATGTAAAAGTCCAACAAGAAAAATAATGAAAAACAAATGTTGTCCTGGTGACTTTGCGTGTGAGACGCTCACCATGTAATCCCAACATCATGGTTCGAGTCCGGCCTGGGACCTCGGTGCATTTCATTCCTCTCTCTGGATCTCATTTCCTGTCAGCTCGAACACTGTCTAATAAAATGCACCAAGAAAAACATTACTTTCAAGCGAAAAACAAAACTGTGGACTGTCAAGTTAATTTAACATGTGCTACTTTTTTCTTACTCTGTGATCTGTGTTTTGTTGTTGTATGGAGTGTGTGGTTGCATTCAGACTATACAGACTCTGATTCAACTTCAATCACTTTCTGCAGCATTTTACATGTTTTCTATCTCTATAGGTTTAATTCAAATGTAAAAACACATTCATTTAATTGACTAAAATAGTTACCTGATTTAGTCCTGCATGGTGTCACCATAGTCATTTCTTAAATTAAAGTGTTTATGCTGTCTTTATATACATATTTTGCTACTTTATTTAGTTTGCGCAGTATATCATAATAAAGTATTCATATGCTTTTCGTGCTGCATCTAAATGACACAATTCATTCTCCACTTTTCAATGACTGTCAAAGTAAAGCAGAATCTGACTGGCATGCTAGCTGTACTTAATAAGTACTGTTTGCAGGCTTTTTTTGGACTGTAAAAGGTCTTAAAGGAAGTAAGACTGTAGAAGATGAAAGCCCTGGGTGTGTCTTGGCACCTACAGCAGCTAACTTTCTAACACATGTGAGCTTTTAGAAATGGTGAAAAGAGGCTACAAGGCTCTTATTAGTTCCCCCTCGACGATCTTGAATGTTGGGAAGACTAAAAGGAGTCCAGGGGGAACACTTTGTATTCTGTACAGTTTAAACTAAATATATACACAATAATGTAATATTCCCTACAGCAACCCCTCATTTAGAAACATATAAAAGATTAATACAGCCTAAAACAAGCTAATGTTTTCATTTTTTGGCGGCAAGTGCTTTAAATAATGGGTATCTTTTTGGAGCTCTAATGTTTGACAAAAATATAAGTGTCAGTTTTAGGTTAATGTACAGCCAGTGTTTGCATCCACAAATGCTCTAATGCATGCAATAAGTGCTTAAACCACATTCTTTATTTTTAGCCAAGCTGTTATTACTGGGCGCAATGATCTATTGCATTTCCTAATAAGTGTTTGATATTGCACTTTCCCTAATGCTCAGGCCTGTAGCACTTTTCTCTCCATTAACAGGCTTCATGCTAACAGCGGGAAGTTGATGATGAGTGTTCTAACCAAGATACTGACATTAATCTTTGATGGATCTTTGGTAGACTCAGAGGCAGAAGGGCCCTATGTGTGAAATACATAGAGCATATTATTAATCTTATACATTTGGAACAGCAGGTTTGTATATTTGCAGGACTTCAGATTTCTTAAACTACCTGCCTGTATTTTGCTGCCCTCATGTGGATGTTTTAAGCAGGAATGTAGTGTAAAATAAACCTACAAAACTTCATAATATCACTTAAAAAATGTTGGCCAACTTATTTGCCACATATTTCTTGTTGACTTTATAGTGCAAAGTATTGAGGATAGTTTTATCTTCAAAGGGAACTAATGGAAAGACAAACACCTGTTCACCTCACTGACCAACCTATAGAATAATAATGTCCTAAAATCATATGTAATCTCTTATGTCAATGACACATGTTCTTTGTGAGCATTAGTCCTTTAATGTGACAAAGTACAGTTATGAGGAACTTATTATTTCCTTGAATATGTCCATGTTATGCCTCTTCCATACATTTCACAGGCAAATATTGTGCTTTTCGTCCCACTACTTAAGTCTGGCAGCAACAGTATCAGCAACTATACTTCACAGAAAATACAATTATTTAAATCTAAAGAAATATGACATGCAATTTGAAGATGTGTTTGCATGGTGTGGCAGTAAGACTCATGACCTTACATACAATATAATTGTTATTATGTATGTACATAGGTAAGACTTTGAAACATCACATTGTAGTATCGCTTTTTCTTTGTACTCATGCCACCAGTGAGCCAACTCATATTGATTTACAATCTGTGTGCTGGTTATCACATGATGAGCCCTTCACGTATTGGAAATGACGGCCTTATCAAAATGGTCCGCCGGGGCAGACTGGGTAAATGAGGGTCAATGCCCTCACCTCTCCAACAGGAGAACTGGCAGGTGGGTCTCAGGTAAGACGTGACGTCACAATGATACTTTTGAACTCCTAGGCAGTAAATCTATAAAGGTGTGTAGTCTTACTGCACAGGTAGCCAAACCTTGGACTGAAGTGAAAACAGAGCTCCAGAGGCTGCAGGGATAAACAAGGAGGCCTAACATGCGCAGGTAGTTCGATTCGCCGAGGTCTAACGAGAGAGCCCCCCTACCTGTCGCACCAGGACACCGGCATGTACCCCAACTCGCAGTCGGCCAGACACCCGGCTCAAACACTTTCTTTGAACAGTCAGTACTTTCCGCCTCCGTATGACTTCACCGGGTTTCATCACGTCCCGGGAGTCGGGGACCCGTCGACAGGTGCCTGGAGCTCCATGTACGCTCCCCGGGAAGAATACGCGTACAGCTTCCCGGGGTCAAGCCCCAGCAGCGCGGCGCAGGCCAGCTTCTCCTCCCCGGAGCTGAGCGGCACGCCCACCCCTGCTGGAGGGGGGTCGTTCACCCCGTACAACTTCATCTCAGGACAGGACCCCTTCGGTCCCAAGAGGAGACCACATGAAACCGTTTCAGGTGAGACTTCAATACCTGA